AGGGCTCACCGACCCATCCTTCTCAAAGACGAAGGTGTGAGGATGTAACCCTGCCAACGGCATATGGTAGGCAGCTCACATCAAGTTCGTCTTCACAAAGTTGCAGGTTATTTTTGAAAGGAAGAACCTCAATACTTGCAGTTTACGGACAGACCCTAGCTTGCAGAGATGCTGCGGATACTGTGGCAATCATGGAGTCGGAGGTTGGTTTTCCTCTGCGGCTTTGTCAGAATCAGCCTCGGCTTGCAGATGCATGGAGGCCAATGCCCGTTGGGATGTAATCTTGAGCCCGCGGGCTTTGGCATACGCATTCCAATACAGCAAGCGTTCACGCGGATAAGCATTTCTCGGGGTCGTTCTCTTCAGCGCGAGCATGCAGCGTTTCCTGTTGAACGTTTCGCCATCGAAGGTACCATAATGCAGCAGAAACTCGGAGGCACTCTGAGACGTTTGCAAAAGATACACAAAGAGAAACGTAAACATAAGAACCGTCTTTGCCTTTGGCATCGATACATACTCCAAAGAGCCGGGCAAGAAATCCAGCATGCGCAGCTTCAGCCAGAGACTACCGTAATTCAGCAAAGGAAAGGCTTCCCCCACGGATATCTTCAGGGAACGCCTCCAATGCCAATTTCAGCTTGAGCGCCGTGTCATTCCCGACAAGACCAATCTCCTCCACTGCCCCCAGCAACTGAACTTTCTGCAAATACATGATAGTGCCTGCCAGCCAAAAACCGAGAAACGATCGAAGCGCTGCCAACTCCGGATCATTCATTTTGGGCTTGCCGCCCGTACTTTCCTTGCCACTGTTGGGCGACCCAGAAAACGTTATTCAGTACGCAGCGCAATCAAACTCACTCAAATCTCCATCAAATATATCAAAAATCCTCGTCAAATCTTATCACGCGACGCAACATGTGCAGAATGCAGCGGACACTGGACTTCTTTTTGGCGGCGTGGGGCGTCTAAACTTCGGATTAGGCTTGCATGAAAACACGATGGTGCACACAAAGGCACTCGGTCCCTCAAGAAAGTTCCCGCATGGTGATCCTGCAATTCCAGCTTCAATCATCCTGCATGTGATGTCACGTTCCCCTCCCGGGTTGTTGTTGTTGTTGTTGTTGTTGCGGCGCACTCCACGATGGCGAGCATCGTGTGAGAGGAACTACATTCATCACTATGTGATGAGTGGCCAATCTAGTTGGCATCCAAGCTGGAATGATTATTCCATACAAGCAAAGCAGGAAAAATCACAAGATTGTCATGCGCAATCCTGCTGATGTCCGCCTACATTGAGGCATGCCCCAGGCTAATGCGATGATGGATTTTCGCGCGCCAAGAACAACACATAAACATCACCCGCAACCTCATCAAAATCTCTGAGGGCTTTGGCTTTACATCCATCATCACAGTAGCGAAGACCTACTTCATCCCCATCATGGATGAGCAGTGCCCTGTAACGCCCGCAAATGGCATCATCCCCTATGTGGACTATACAGGCTCTCAGTTTACGGCTGACCTCAGAGAAGGACAAAGTGGAATCATTGAAAACCAGCATTTGAATCCCAGCCGCGGGCGGCATTGGCGATCGTATTTTGGATACCCCATCACTGGCATCCTTTCGGAAGCGGTTGATGCGAAGGATGAGCCATGTCGGAATTTCACTGATTGCATGTACATATGCCTGCTGACGCCATCTGTTGATTGCATCTTGCAGCATCCAATGTCCTTCAAGCGGCGGATCAACATTGATAGTTCCCGCACATGTTCCAGAGTCAGCGACACGCATGCCATCGGGTCATATCACCCTGGCCTCCCATCTGCCATGAAATGGTGTGACCTGGCATTTGTCCAGCATAAACATGATATACTCACGCACGTCGTGCTGCCGGCCTGCATGTCTCCACCCCTGTTGCAAAGCACACCATGGAAGAAGCTGAGTGACTGCGAAAGCCTTAGCCTGTGACATGATGGCTCGCCATGCATTGGCACCCCGTCCCATGTCTGAAACCTGGCCACCAGTCGTTTCCAGCATCCAAGCCACTGCATGTACAAAGGAATTTGTGTAGCATGTATTGCCGGAATTGAGCAACTTCAGACTAGTAGCTATCCATACAGCATCTCTTCCACAAGCTTGGCCACGCCGTTGCGTTGATTGCGTTCTGGTTCTGGTCTGATCCGGCTTTTCAGTAGCTTCAAAGCCATGTTGTCGCATAGCATGTTGAGGTTGCAACGCATTCGTTGGCCCACATCCCGCGAAGTGCCACCTGAACATTGAAACAGACTTCGTGATCCATCACCTGGCTTGCCATGTCCTGTGTCAGTGGCCTTGACGCCTGGAACCTCCGAAGGCCCTCCGGCACACTGACGTCCTGCATAAGCTCCTCGGGGATCTGCAGCAGCATTTAATCAGCGGTGGCTTGTCCATCGCCACCAAGGTTTTGCTCTGTGACTCCCACCTCTTGTACAACCATGCTTTCTCAGCGTTGATCCATTGCGCTTCCCTGGCTGCCTTCTCCTTGGCTGCCTTCTGAAGGTGCTCCGACTGATCCGCCTGCTGGATTCTGGCCACTACTTCCTTCAACACACACTCTAGCGCGATGGAGTTTAATGGCCTGGTCACCTGCTCCGGCGCCTCCTTGATGCGTCTCCACTCTGTGCTCACTCCAAACATGACTGGAAGGACACTGCCCTCCTCCTTGCTGATGAAGAGAGTGAATCCGCAGTCTTGCAGTATCACCTGATTGGCATCCGCTAGACGAAGAGCCAGCTTGGCCGTGGCCTGCACCAACTTTGCCTTTGCCCTTGACGTCCCCCTCTGCGCGGGCTCTTTTGTTGGTCGCCTCCGCATTGGTCACTCCCTGCATCGGGCTGCTTTGCTGTGATTGGCTGCCCACTGGTAGCAGGTGTTGGAAGAAATCTGCTTCCGCCGCTGCCGCCATTCCGCAGGAAATCTGTGAGGATCGACTGAAAGATAATCGGACACGCCACCACATGACTTCTAGGATCCTTAGAGACCGATCCACATACTGAGCACGGGACCGTTATGTCGGCCTGCTGCGATTTGCAAATCAGCTCAATCCTATGCTTACGCTGACTCCACACCTCCCTGTGTGTTTTGGCAAGATGCATTTTGACAGCTCTGTTGGAGGCACACCGCGCGCCGCACAGACAGCACCGCTGGGCCAACTGCTTCCTCCATTGTTCATTTTTCACTAAAGCCCGCCAACCACCTTGCTGGACAACGCTGTGAACATCTGGGTGAAGTGCCGTTGGCAACTGAGCTTCAGCAACTTTTTCAGCGCTGGCAACCTCTGGTTTGGCTGCATCCGCAGGTGTCTGTGCCGGCCCAGTCTCAGAGACGGGGAACTGACAAGCCCATGCTCGATATGCTTCCGCAGTCTACCCCAGGAGTTAAAAAGTTCTTGGCATCCAGAGCATCTAGGCCTGCCACCAGCAGAGTGCTTCGGCCTCGGCCTATCAAAAACAGGGCGAGCAGACTTTGCATTGAGAGCCAAGTACGGTTTTGCTTGCGCATTCATGACCACAGCGCGGGCATCGAAGAAAAAGTCTACCCTCCGGGCCCTCCCGTTGCAAAATCTGGTCCAGTCTGCTTAGATTCTGTTGCCGCCGTTCCAAGATTTCCTGACACGCTGTGATGAGAATGCATGTGGCGCTGTCAGCATTGTCTCGCCATTTGTCAACCAATTTGCTCATGCGATCTCGGATGTAAGCGCCAGGCTCTGGCACTCCATATTTATCCAGTAGGGCCTGGTTGCTAATGTGTGTGAGGTGTGCCGGAGCTCTGGCAATAGCTCTTACATGCTTCTGCACCAAGACTCTGATTTTACGCAACGCGCTGAGCGTCACGCCAGAAGAGTCAAGGGCGTAGAAGAGCGCCGCTCCGACGCAGGCTCTCCACAGTTGTATCCTGGCTCGCGCGGACAAGTTGCTGCGGCTGGTAAGGACTGTCCGTCGCCGACCATATGTGGCTCGGGCCGAGACAATCCGATGATGGACCGTTGCGTCAATGAAACTGTCATAGGAAATCTGAGCCCCCAAATACCTCGCTTGTGCGCAAATTGGGAAAATTGGGAGCCATCTTTGTTGCTTGAAAGCGGAGAGGCGCAGAAAACAATCTTATTTCCAAAGCATGTTAGTGGCAAAACACCTTGCAGTATGAGAGAGAGCTCCCCACAATATTTGGGCATCAAATATTATTCGAATCAAACATGCAAGCGCGCGTCTCTTTTTTACAGACGGTTTGCACCGATGCGTTGGGGAAACAACTAGAAGCATGCGATTGCATGATGAACCCACTTGGCAAGATCACACGTACCATGCCTGCATTTGTGACATCGCACAAACGCGTGAGTGTCATCCCCCCCCCCCCTTAAGTCGGTTTTCGCTGTGAAAACAAAGACTCGACGATCGATCCAATCCATTCCGGCGGATGGGACACAGGGTGGGCTGGGTGGGTAAACAAAATTTTGGCTTACAGCCACTTGAGACGAAAGAGCAATCGCAGATTCAGATTTCACATGCCACACATGGTTTGCACATGAGCACATGGAAAAACAAGGAGCTCAGAACACCAAGCATAAAGCGTGCTGAAGATGTTTTGCCGACCATGAAATTTCCAAGAAATTTCAAAACTGGGAGAACACGCTTTGAAAATAATGCCCTGTCAATCACGATTGAAAGGTGGCTTATTTCCAAAGCATGTTAGTGGCAAAACACCTTGCAGTGTGAGAGAGAGCTCCCCACAATATTTGGGCATCAAATATTATTCGAATCAAACATGCAAGCGCGCATATCTTTTTTACAGACGGTTTGCACCGATGCGTTGGGGAAACAACTAGAAGTATGCGATTGCATGATGAACCCACTTGGCAAGGTCACACGTACCATGCCTGCATTTGTGACATCGCACAAACGCGTGAGTGTCATCCCCCCGCAAGATCGCGCAGTGCGATGTCAAGTAGATTGGCACACCAGGCCTAATCCCACGAGCTGAGAGCTTCCTTAGCAATGCGGAGGGCATCGACTTCAAAACCTTTCCCCAGGCCCTCCAGATCGGCGCCACGAGACGGCGGATCCGCAATGTTAGAGGCAGTGTTGACTCTTTCGAACCATGCGTTCACGCACATGGTATCAAGAAGGTCGTGTGTGCGGTTCACGATGAGTGCTCCACACTCATTGTCCGACGATCCCGAAATCATGGCTCCAAGCGCCCCCTGATTGTCGGAGAAGACGACCACGTTGCAGCCTCGAAGGAGGCCCGACCACGTGCGTAGGCCCAGTAGGATGGCCAAGCACTCGTATTCAAAGATAGGGTTCCCACTGCCGGGACTAATCAAAGATCTGAGCTCGTCGCATGCCCACACGCTGAAGCACGCAACCTTACACCCCGATCCAGAAATCAGTACCCCTCCTGCCCTACCCTATTATCGTCATGTGAGGCGTCGACGTACATGTGCCAGAGGTGCAGCATGTTGGAACACAAGATACGAGGCGGGCCCTCAAGGAAGTTGTCACGCAGGAAGAGCAGGCTCCGCTGGAGATCATCTCCGACCCTGGGGTCGCCCCTCACAAGGTGTCTGGACAGCGCCTTGTAAGCGAGGCCGGCACGCTTCCCAGCCACTTGATTTGATGCAAACTGAATCCTGCCCCTCAGGCGTTGGCACTCCTTGGAAGTCAGGAGCCCGTGGGATAGAATGTCAGAGATCAAGTCGATGAGTTCATGTTTTCTCTTGCTGGTATTCCGGAGGTACACGAAACCGGCCTTGGCCTCTGTGGTGTCAAGCTCATTCCTAGGGCAATTGAGATCGGACCGAAGGGCTGATCCTTGTCTGCAGATGTTTCCCAATCTAAGATCCGGAACAGAGTCTCCACGCACAGTTCAAACACCTTGGCGAGCGGGGGGACTTCAGCACCTATGTAGTCGTCCACGAAGATGCTCCAATGGAGGAGCAGTAAAGTGAGTCCGACCCTCCACATCCCGAAGGAAGTGCGAATGAAACCATGCACGGAAGATCTCGCCCCGAAGGGCAACACCTTTTGGGAGAACAGCTCTGCCTTGTTTGCCCGCGGATTGAAAACCGAGAGGAAGGCTTCGTCCTTAGCTTGGGTGCTCAGAGGTAGATTTTTGTAAGCCTTGTGCAAATCCCACGCACGGGTGTGCACTCCACCATGGGTGCGGCACTTCATGTCGCGGTGCAATCTGTAGCATAGCCCGGCGGCTACAGTGTCGGCAGAGTGAACGGCCACGCTGTCAACAGAAGAGGCAGTGGCGTTAACACAATGCCTTGAAATCATCTATGGGGCGACACTTGTCCCCCTGCCATATCCCGAACCTTCGGGACACCACGGATGTGGGTCCCAAGGAAGGTTTCCAAGGGTCCGGCCAACCACCCCTTGCTCACCTCTTTCATGGTCGCCTCGTAGAGCGCTTCATCCAAGACAGCATCCCCGGACGAACCAGTGTTGGCCATTGTTATCTCTCGCATGAGAGGTGCGGCACGGTGAAGTTCACGCACAGGCATTGATGCAAGAGTCAATTTTGGCTTGAACTCTCGGCAGCCCGGTATAGGACCGCTCAAGTCGAAGCCACGAGCAATGTCCTGCACCAGGTCGGTGTCACGGTGACCCGCTTCTCTGAGAAGCTCGTCGAAGATGGCCAATCTCTTGCGCTCGAGCACCTCTAGGCAGTGGGTTGGCACGCTGTCTCGTATCTCCTCTTCATGTTCCTGAACATCGCGGATCTTCAGGACCCACTTTCTGAGCTGTGACGCCCTGTGCGCACCAATTTCGTGCATGCTCATGCCTGCTAGGGTGTCAAGGGTTTCCTTCGTTGGAGCAGGCAACCCGTTGAGCAGGTGTGTGGGATGGCCCGCCAACACTGCCTTCTCGATAAATGCTTCGGGGGACCACGGTATCCCAACCACGCACTTAAACAACCTATCGGTTCTAGGGGAGAGAGGACTAGACCCACAAAGACCCCTAACGGGAGAGGCAACCACCTCGGGCCCGGTCGGTGAGGTGGTTTCACACGTATCGTGTAAGGCTCCAACAAGCGGCAGCGAGAAGCCCAATCCTTCGAGCCGTTTTCGGTCCTCAGGCACTAGCCTCTCATGGAACTTCGCAACGAAGGCAACTAACACGACCCCGTCACCTCCCGACCAAGGAGCTTGGCAATGCCTTTTGGAAGGGTCCAGAATGATCCTGTCATTCACAAAGTCAAGGATGTTTCCCCTAAGGTCGGCCTGGTGCCGGGCATGCATGCGAGCCTGTGTCACACTCTACCCATATTCCGCCCTGACTAAAGGTGGAGATCTTCAAGATAGCATTGGGGAGGCCACGTTCGTTGTTTTTGTCCACATGGACCCCGGCCAACAAGTTTTTCCCCAGCATGAAAGTGGTGAAAGGGTGGCCTGGCACGCTTTGTCGTATGTAACGGCATAGCAGTCGCCGCATAGCCGACATCGTCCTGCGAACCCTCCAGAAAAGAGGTTTTCAAGCCGCCCCAGACAGCATGCAATCAGGAGCATCAGCCCAGCATGTCGAGGCAGCCGCCGCGACAAACACGCAACCAAGAGGCAAAAAGCTGCCTCCCCTTGTTCCTGAGTTCGCTCAAATCATTACCATTACCTGCAACGAGCCTCTCTTTCCTGGTATCACCAAAATAGAGGTCAAAACTGACCTGCCTGATTACGCAGATTGCTCAGTTCCCATTACCTCGTTGCCAGCTGGATCCCGAATCTTGAGGCAAGACATTGTGGGGGTGGTGCCTGCCACTGAAGATTCGTCTTGTGAAAATGAACATGTCACGTCCAACCTTCGCAGCGATGCAACCCTAACCCGTGTCACGGCCACCCCGGGTGGTACCTTAACCCCAGTGCTTGATCAGATAAGTGATCGCCTCAGCGCCGAAGCATTCGCATCCCACATCCTTGCGAGTAGACCCCACGAGCCAGTGACCAAAGCCGACATCATCGATTTGGTGGCGCTACTTAAGTCTGAACATCCCAGCCGGGGTGGCACGTTCTCAGACGAGATGTCTTGGTCCGCAGGATCATACGCACATGGGGCACTGCTTGGGTTGCGCAAGAACGTAGCTGCGTTCCCTGAGGTGTGCAGACACAAGGTCCAGGGATAGACCTTTTCTTCAGAAGTTGCAAAGGCCTTGCCACTGCGGGACCACGGTAGGTGCTGATGCCCCTGGGACTCGCCTGGGCACATCAAGTGGAGCTCGCTGAAGAGGTCGATGTTGTGTGCCACGCGCGTGGCTTTTGCACGCTGGCCTCCATGTTGGCAATTATGGAAGACGACTTCTTGGAAGGCGAGGCCCTGAGTATGCGACACCCAACCTAAGGTTTTCCAAAAGTAACTGTTTGCAGGATTCTCAACTGACACCAATTTGTTGAGGCGTATGCATTCGGCAAAAATGGCGCCCGTGCGCTCATACAAGAGGTTAGCCTTCAAGAAGCGCTCTTTGAGGACTCCCTGCAAGGATGGCAATCCATTGGGAAATTCATCGCTCCGGGCCGGAGGTGGCAACTGTTCACCTGGCCTCTGGATGTCCCTTGCGCGACTGGAGGTCCCGCATGGGGGCGCTAGATGTACGTAAAGGCAAAAAGGGTTTCGGACAAGATCCAAAACCAACCTGAACTGATCAGGGTCAAGCATGTCTAATTTGATGATGGGAGAAATCATGGCGTGGGGGAGCTCGCAGTCGATCCCCACACTATCACTAAGTCCCACCTGGCGTAAAGATGCAGTGAGGCGGCCACACCCCGCAAAAATCTTGACCAACTTTGGCTTGAGAGCAACCACAAGTCATGTTACACGACCAACAGCGGCGTTTCCCAGTTCTTGTGAATGAACAGAGGCCTTTGAGCTCATCAGGAACATTGGCTGGCTCCTTAGGTGGTTGCCCTTTGCCCTTGCCCTTCCCTTTACGGGGCTTTTTGCCTGGCTTCTGGGAACCTGGGTCCTGATCGAGGCTTGCGTGGTCTGCACTGCGTTTGGTTGCGCCGGACGCAACATGGCCTGAGGATGCTTGTGGCAACAGGTGGAAGACAACCTTCGGATCGTTCTCAAGTCTGGCCCAGAGGGCATCAAGCGGAAGGTTGCCGGCACCGTCGGTACGGATGCCATCAGGGGTAAGCTCTGACAGGCGTACCCACGCAGCCCGGTCTGCTGCCAATACCTGCTGAACAGTGGTACGCTTAAAGCCTTGCATGGCGGGCTCGCGCAGATGGCTCATCAAGAAATCTGAGAAGGCTTGAACTTTGAAGTAGTCCGTTGCACCGACCACATCAAGCGCAAGGCTGCGCCTCTGCAAGGCATGATGGAGGCTAAGGGCGGTGGACGTGTCGCAGCTGTGGTCAAGCTCTTTGGGCTTGACAATGATCGACGACCCTTGGACGTCAAGCTCTTTCTGGGGCTTGTCGTGGCGAGGCTCCGCTTCACGAGTAATGAATTTGCTCGGCGGCAGATAATGAATGCAGTTGTCGGTCATCATCTTCATGACCAGATCATAAGAAGCGTGCGCGCATTCTGACTGTCCAGTCATGGGAATGCCCTTGAGTCTAGTCGCCTGGTCTCGGACCCTGGCTCTCCTTTCGGCCGGAGCCAGTTCTTTGACTTCTTCGCGAGTCTCTGTCATAGCTTTTGTCTGAGACACAAGAACGGTTTGCGCCTCGAAAACGAGGTGGCGGACCGCGGCAATGGTGCCCACTGACGGGGCAGGCTTGCCCTGCTCCTCGACAAGTTGCTTGAGGGTAGCTTCGGTAGGAGCTTCGCCCGGATTGCCAGATGCGAACGCAAGTTTGGCCAGAGTGTCCACTCCTTGTGCAATCAGTCGATCCCGGGCGGAATCTGGCAGCCCTACCCTCAGAGCTCGCTCTTTGAACACTGCCTGGGATTCCACCAAAGTTTGCGCCATGGTCCTGAGGAATCAGGGCAGGCTTGAACTAAAAACTGCAGATTCAACCAAAATTGAACATGCGTGTGGTATCCCAAACATGGCAGCCAGCAACGGTCATGCGTGCAGGCAACATGTTGTTTTGGCGTCAAGTTCGTCCTCCTGCTGGCCCATATGCCGTGCACATGGGGCCCATCAGTCTTCCCAAACTGATGGCGGACCCCAGCAGGACTTGAACGACACTTGCCCCCAGCATTTCATAACGCAATCTAGATGCCCACATTCAACAGCATCGACAAACATACAAAGGAGTGCTCATTGACACAGCACGCGTAGAAGTGAACTGTAGCAACGATGTTAACGCACTCTCATAGATCAGGATTTCACACAAGCTTGTTCGACTGCTGGCCCACGTGGCAACCACGAGGGGTCCATCAATTGTCCCAAATTGATGGCTGAATCCAGCAGCGCAGGAACAAGGCTTGCTGAGATCATGATACGCTCGCTCACACAAAACTCGTTTGTTCAGCGTAAGCATGAGTCACTTGTCTTGCAATTTTGCAAGAAAGGCTGACATTGCACCAGAGTCTCTGATAGGCTTTGAGCTCATACACTGCTTGCACTTCCAGTGGCAGCTAAAGACCCTCCCGTGGAAAAGCTTCATCCCCTGGGCCGATCGCCCGCACGTAAGCTTCCCTGTGGCCCCTTGGGCCCTAGAATGCAGGCTTTTGGTTTTAGGGTTTTGAAAGACCTCTAAATCGGGGCCCATGAAGACGCTTGGAATTTTGCCTTCGCAGACGGATTCATAATCAAAATTGTCCTCAGATGGACCACTGCTTTCTGTCTCATTGGCTGATGGGTCGTCATCAACCAGTGGTCCAGGGGAGCTTACAGGTTTCTCGCTGTGCGGAGTCGGTTCACCGGTGCACCCACACAAGCCTCGGGCGAGACACTCTGGGCTTGTTCCGGCGGTGCAGAGAACCTCCAAGCAGACACTGAAGCCCCCGGGGCCATCATGCCGCTCCTAGTGCGGTCTGGCAAGAACACACCGCGTTGAATGGCGTTGAGGCATTCAACCAAGTCACGCAATGGTTGGGCTTGTACCTTCCTGGCATAAGCTTCCTGAGTCTTCCCTGAGGGACCCAACGAATGATGGCCGAGCACAAGTTGGGTTCTCTCCGAATAGCCTGCTTTGGAAACCCAGCTTAAGGTGGTGGCCTTCAAACCATGCGAAGAGAAGACACATGCTGATTCAGAGTTGACCCCCAAATGCATCAAGATCTCACGGACCCATGCGGTCGTTTCAGAGGCGCTTATAGCCTCTGAGCTCCAGGAGTAGTCCACGGCCTGGCGGGGCAAGAGGGGACCATGGTGGCCCTTTTCAAAGTTGAAACCCACTGCGTTGGCAGCCTTAACCCATGCAGCTCCCCATGGTTTGGAGTGGATGCCTTTGTACGGGGCCACCAAAATCAGGCATGCTCCTGGGCTGTTCAGTCGGCAATTCTTATGGTCATAAGTGCGGACCTCAATGAACCCCTGCCCGTCAGTGAGATCCAGCTCAAGCTTGGCAATGTTACGCAGGTCTGAAACCCTGGCACGGGCATACAGCTGGAATAAGAAGACTCCCAACGCAAAGGCATCGACTTTATCTAGCAGTTCATCAATGAGAGCACCTTCCAGCAGGAGGACTTCCTCGGTAGTAAGGACTCTGGACCTACGCGGGTCAGACTTCCTAATGTTAGCACCTCTCAGCGCACCCTTTATCCAAGGGTGTTCTAAGAGGTCTTCTTCTACCTCCATGCCCAAAACATGTTCAAGAAAGTTGATTGTCTCTGCTGCTTCCCTGATGGCACTGCTCTCACCCTTACTCACAAGGGGTTTGAGGAAGGCGATGAATGCCTTGATCGACACGGGGAAGGCTGTGATGTGCAAGGCGGTACACTCCCTGATGTACTTTGCACTGAACCTGGCACGCTTCAGAATTGTGCTGGTAGCTTTTCCTGCAAGGGTTTGGGAGATCGCGGGCAATGCATCAAGACCCTCCACGCACCAGATGGAAGCACCTATCTTGGAAGCTTTCGGAGCATGGCGAAGTTCGTCTGATGGCATTTTCACGATTAACCCCGGCCTTGCACCCCGACTTAAACCTAGGAGCCCCCAAAGCACACGCTCGAACAGGGCAGATGGCTTGGCACTATCAGGCGGGTCCTGAGTCCGCTGTGTGACATCACCTGGCCTCACCTGAAAGCTTGGCGGCACGATCCTCGGCATTTTGGCACCAACAACTGAAGCGACGTTGTACGGTTTACCATGCCCGCCTTTTTCAAAAAATGGCGCTTAGGACCTTGCTCTTTTCCCAAGGGAAATTAACACTAGGCTCTAAGTCAGGCCTCAAAATCCTAAGGTTCTCCAGTCTCTTGCAAGCGGCCTCGGCCGATGTACCTACCCCCTGCATATTCGGCTCCCGCTTGGCAAAACGCTGCATATTTCTTTAGCTCGCTTGCACGAAGCTACGAGCAATCAAGCAATCAATCAAGAGTCTTGCAGGCTCTGCAGTAGGCGCTTGATGGCGGCAAGATCACTACGGATTTCTTGGACAAGCGATGACAACACCTGGCAGCGAGCGCTTTCGTCGGTCTGAGACGCCCTTAAACTATCAATGGCCCTGCTCTGACCCAAAAGTTGATTCTCCAATGAATGAATCCTGGCCCACAGCAAGGATACTTGACCAGGTGCAACGCTCTTGTCGCTGTCCGAAAGTATTGCGGATCGGTTTCCCGTCTACCGGGTAACGCACCCTCCTCCGGTCTGCAGAAACTACACCTTGGCTTACAGCCACATGAGAGACGAGAGCATCGCAGATTCAGATTTCACATGCCACACATGGTCTGTACATGAGCACATGGAAGAAAAACAAGAAGCTCAGAACACCAAGCATAAAGCGTGCTGAAGATGTTTTGCCGACATGAAATTTCCAAGAAATTTCAAAACTGGGAAAACACGTTTCGGATAATAATGCCCTGTCAATTCGATTGAGGCTCCTTTTCCAGCATTCAGTGTACTTCTTGAGTGCCTGTTTGGCATGCATCCCCCCGGTCTGAAGAAGCACTTGGGTCTTGGTATCATTGATATCCAGCCCAGCCTGGGCCAAGCACTCGAACAGAAATTCCACCTGGCGAATGGCAGCTACTAACTCTTGTTCGGATTCAAAGGTGCTGTGATACAATTCAGAGAAGTTTCGACGAAGGAGCCGGAGACATTGTAGGTCTGCAAGGCTTCGTTCCATTCTGCCACGTGGTTGGCATTGAGATGCTCTCTGAAGTAGGTGTCCAGCTGGTTGCGCTGCATGCCTTGGTGGCTCTACCTGTAGCGACCGATCCGCTGTCCGAGCACTCTATTCCATCTCTAGTCGTAGAGTGAATCTGCCCTGCGCCTTATTCTCTTTGCTGGAGCACCCTGAGCAGCTGTAAGCCTCTTTCCTGCAGAAAGAAAATGGGAGGCAGAGCATGCCTTCTCTCACGTCTTGCTAGCGCTCTTGCAGACCTTGTGCTTCCTTCTCCCAAGATTCTGAAAGGTTAGTGGCAAACACAAGTTTTAAATGGCCCTACGCCTGAAACCATGGGATTTCAGCTCTCTGCTACGCTCGAGCTGGATAAGGTCGAGAAAAAAAAAACAGACGCAGAAGATGATGCCCCCCAGAACAGCAAGAAAAACACAAGAACAAGACAAGTGGAAGACGAAAATAATGATCATTCTCCAACAACTTGACGGTGTAAAGCTCTGTTTGGACGCAGTTCAACATGGAATTTGGAGACACTTCTCGAGTCTTTGTGTTTTTCTGCCGGCTCTCAGTGTTTTCTTTCTTTCTCGCAAAAAGGTGACTCTAAAGGGCAGTTCTCCCACTTGGACTTGATGACTCTGGTAAACCAGGCAGCAGGCAGCAACTAAAAATACGTCCGTACAGGGTTTCTACAGATCATCGCGATTTCTCCGGCATGTGGAAAGCAAAAAATTGTCGGATCTTTGCTGGTCGTTCTTTGACGACGACTATGTGGTTGTAAGTTGCCTTTAATGCCGATGTCAGGGCATTAAATTTCATCAGTCGACTCTTGTGCAGGCCTTCAGGCGTGGTGCAAAACACGATGATCTTCACCAGGGTGTGAAAAAGGCTCTTCGTGCTCTGATACAGAGCAATTCAAGTTTCCTGTGTTGCAGACTTCCCCACAGGTCATAGAAAGGTTTGCCTGCATTTTTGCCTGCATTTGGTGCGATATATTGGACTCCACGCTTTCCATGCCCACAAGCAATTGCTTGCAGGAGCTGCCAGTGGCGAGCCGGGAGTCCACGACCACAGACATTACACCAACCTTCTGCTGATCTAAAGCTCGCTCTCTGATTTGTCAAGATAGTGGATACGATCATGCCGTGCGTCGGGTGTTCATCTCCATCGACTGCTGATCAGCTGCGATTCTTTTGTCTCCACTCTTTATTTTAACGTCTTTCCGAGACCTAGAAAACTTACCCTAGTCCTGGTCCTGGCGGCCCCTGAAAAGGGTTCATAATAGCCCGGAAATGTTCCGGTTTATGCAATTTTCTCACTGTCCACCTTTTAGACGTTGACTCCTACAGGCCTAAAGGCATGTGGATTTCGCGTTTTCCTACTTGTGGATCACTCTTTTTTCTAACGGGCTGCTGACAAATGGTCCGGATCTGGACGCGCTTTCCGCGTTCGAGAGAGAGAGAGAAAGCATTATTGTTCTGTTATCATTGGCTCTGCTCATAAAGCAGAGCTGGCCTACACAAGAATCACGTGACGGAACCCTTCAAATTTCCCTGCCCGTATGGTGGCTGAGCATGCACGCCACCCATTTAAATTCCAACCAGCATCGGAGGAGCATGGCGATCGTAGATATTATAGCAGATCCACAGTCCACAGTAGATTTCTAGATTTGGAAACAGGTATTTACATTTTCCTCTTCAAGAGTATGAAACACCTGTTTGCCGCAAACTGTATCACACCACTATGGTCCTGTGAACTCATGAGTCATTCTGCAATGTCATGTTTTGTGCAGACCTTTCTTTGATTCGTTGCATGTATGTTCATCTTGTGGTGGATCCGGTGTAAAGTTGCTGGTTATACCATCGTGGATGAATTTGTCTACAACTCAGATATTTTGACAAGTCTAGAGCAAAACGGTTTCTCAAGACCGCATCCAACATAGTTTGACATAATCGAATTAGGCTTACTCGAGAAGTCGCATCGTTGTTTTTGTTCCGCAGCATTCTTCCGCAAGCACACATATCAGACCACCTACAAACCACATCGCGTGATCACCAAGTTCACATCAGTGCGAGAGGATACAATTGCATGTCGGATCGCCATTTGTGTTGTAGAGTTTTTCGGCGCTATTGAATACTTTTGCTAAATGACATGCAGAAGGTGCCAAGTTAGCACATCACAGACAAATAGTATGTTCCGGGTTACAAGCTTCCATTCTGAGGGCCCCTTCAAAGAACATGCTCATAAACTGTGCGCATTAGAGACCATGGCTGCTGCTGACCATATCTACCAGCCAGTTGGGGAGCCGCCACGGGTATATCACGCCAGAGGCCGGGTGTGCAGTGTTACCGGTTATCATTGAGTGTTAGGCCTTTTATTTACGTTGCATGTCAGTATTTTAAGGTTTGCGAAGCGTTTGAGATGTCAGTTCTTTTTTATGCACGCTTTCTGGTGGGTATTCTGTTCGTGGGCATGCAATGATTTGTTTTCCTCCGGTTCATTCAAGAAGCAAGGCAAACCGGCAAACCCCAAACGTGCACTGTTGGCTTGGATTAGAGGTTTCGACGCCAGGGTTCTGCGTGTGCTGAATGAGAGCAAATGCGCAACGTTGAAGTGTGTAGAAACGGATGACAGGCCAAGAACAGCTATGAATGTTTGCCTAGAGGCAAACCACTTTGAGACATTGTAACACATGAAGATAACAAGAAGGTCGATTGTTACAAGGTCGAGAACACGCGTACTTCGCATGTTTTCAAAAACATGTTAGGCTTGACATGTTCTATTTGGAAGCACACAAGGCAACAATCATCCACAAACTGTTGGAAGGAGGCTTGGCCGAACGCTGCGACTGCACAGATGCGCTACGGAACCTGAGATGATCATTGTAAGGCTTGGGTTTTCACAGGAGCCAACTATAACACCATTAATTTGCACCATAGGGGTTAGCTTCCGTCTGCAAAGAAGAGGTCTTAGAGGGGAATCAAATTCCTATAGCATAAAGCCCATAAATTGTCGTATAGTTCCCCATTTCAAAGGAACTTGGGGCCGGCCATGGGCATCCTGGGCTCTGCTGCAGCTCCTTGGGATGCAAATGAATCTGGCTTGAGACGGAGGATGTGGCAAGTTTTCCACCACTTGGAATTTGCCAAATGTTGTGCGTATTGGGGTGTAAGGTAGATGGTGGGGCAAGATATCCTCCATATACTGTATTCTGAGTATTGTAATCTTGTTAGTATTTTGTTGTCATTGAGGTTGTTGTGACGGTTCTAAATCTAGTCAAGCAACAATTTGGTTTTAACATACCGTGATCTTGCATGTGTGGCTCACGTGCATGGCTTGCATAGTATGCCATATCATCAGATGTCTAGCCAGAGGTCCACTCCCCCACCCGACTTCATGTACCGAGGAATCTACCACCCACCCCCACCCCTTCCCCCCCCGCCGCCGGACCCTTACTATTCTCGCTAACTCATTCTCCAACAGATATCCCCCAAATAAACGATCCCTTAAGACTATTATAAATCCAATGAGAAATTGTTTTAGCCAATCCAAAATACGGCACAAATCCTATTTGAAAATAAGATTGTTTCTATTCCAAATTAAGAATGGGAAATCCAAGTAACATCACCTAAGCTCCAGTCATTAAAAAACCAAGTTAGAATTAGCTATTCAAAGCCAATTAGGAATGAATCACATAAACTAAAGCCACTCCCATTAGAATTGCATAAAGTCTATGTTTAGAATTATTGAAAAGTTTGATTAGAATAAATAAAACCTCATGCGAATGAGGTGAGTAACCACAAGTCTTTCTAACCCAGCTAATTAAGGTTGATAGAAGTCCAATTAGCACTTATTTCAATCCAGTTCTATACACTAAGAGGACTCCAATTCAACTTATTTGAAGTCCACGCGATCTTAATCAGAGATCCAATGAAAAACTCAATTCAAGGGGGTCAGGGGGGTGGTCAGGCGGGGTGGTGCGGGGTGGGTTTTAGCGGAGAGGAGCAATAGTTGCAAACCTGGGTGTGCAGATTGTTTCTGGGGTGTAAGGGGGTTTGTTTGGGGGGGAACCCAGGCATTGACCATCATCGTCCCAGCTTTGCTTTCCTTGGCACGGCCTGCGACCCTGGTCCACGAGGCAGGCTTCCTGGGAGGGCACAGTATCTGAGATGATGGATTCCCGGTTTTGGGTTGACGTAACGTCCTCAACCCTAAACCTGCCAAGGTTAAGGGATATGTGCCATTGTGATGCATGTTTGCCCAGAGAGTATCCGGAAGCCGCCGCAGTGCTTGGCCAGACACACACCACTACACCAACGACAACAAGCTGCGGGCTTACTGCATCGGCAATCTTGACGATCTTTTTGGTATTGACAGCATGTTCACGTTTGTACTTCTATAATGATGACAGAAGGTGTGCACGTTTTCGCCGTTGGGGCCATGTGAGCCAGAAACTGATGGTTCAATTAGGCTGCATCAACCTATCTGGGCATCACTGAAGGATCAGAGGCAACTGGTTTCTGCGGGCACAGTTTGGGCTTTAGATCCCACAGCTTCAAGCGGGAATGCACAGTCTCCTTTCCAGCCAAAGGTGGTTTCAATGGCATGAGCCCAGACTTTTGAGGCCTCTCCTCACAGACTACATCTCGAATTCCTTCCTGCCTTTGCATGCCGAGGTTCAACTACAACAGCGACAACCACCACAACCACCACGTTCAGCAGCGGACCCAATAGCACATGCTTGTAGCTACAAGACCTTTGCTGAACCTCCATTGCTGTGTGGCATCTGTATGTCAGCAGCACAATTGCCGTCCAAAGATTGCGTGAAGCTCAAGGAGCCCGCAGTTCTTTCTGGTGCAGAGTCTGTTTATGAGGGGCATTAGGAGAATTCGAAGTAATTCTGCCATGACTTCGTTGGAAGGAGTTGCCTCGACAAGGAATAAAGCTGCCAATTACTCCAATCCTGAATAATCAATCTTATGGTATTGGGTCCTGATGATAGTGATGGTAGCGGTGCTGGCGGCTGGCGGCATAACGACATGGCAAGGATGACTCACAATAGAGTGAAGAGTGCCCGTGATTATCATTGATGTTGCAGGTCACATCATACCACAGAGCTCAACAACAACGACTTTGTCATCGCTTGATGTGGTGGGCCTCGCATTTTGTGGAAGGGCCTGATTTTCAAAGGGTTCAGAGTTCAGACAGAGTTTGCCCAGCTGTTCTTTGAAGCAGATTCGAGTTCAGAACGCTGTCGACAGACAGTTTCCCGCCTGAAACTAAGTATACTATCCTACAAGGATTCCAACAATTCTGGTCTACTGCAGGGTCATACAGGATTTCACTGATGGACTGCGTCTCTGCTACTCATCAGCTTTATGCTGTGCAGTTCGAATCTCAGAAACTCGACCGCCTTGAGGCAATGAGTCTGTTGCAGAATTCTGTCTGATGCGGGCGGGAGAGTTTTGTTCAACTGCTAGCATCTTCAAGTTTCTTGTGGGTTAGGCTATCATTGATTGAGATGTCTGGGTCCGAATGGCTTCAGTATCCCCAACCCAACAGACATGGAGTTTGCAGCTGCATATGCGCCTTTCGAGGGCTCAAGAGTGAGGTATGCCAGAGCGTCACGGGGCGCATATGTTGCAACTCCAACCTGCAACTCTCCAACAATCCAAATCACTCAGAGACTTTGCAGTCAAGTTATTTGTGCCCTCCTTGCACTCGAAGCCATGCGCAGAGACCGGGTGAAGAATGGAGATGAGCCCGGCTCCTCGGGGTCCAACACGTCCTCAGACGTGGAGATGCAGAGGCAGAGCATCGATTTCCAGGTTTTGGCTCGAGTCGGTTGAGGATAAAGTTCAGAGGCTTCTGCCGAGCCTTCCCAGGCTTTTTGATTTCAGGTCCGCCACGGGTTGAGGGAGGGTATCGCAGAATGTCCTTGCAAACTGATGTTCAAAACATGTCCGGCAGGAATCATGCTAGGCGATCGCACAGCACTGGATGCAACGCAGCATCCAAGAACAATAGTGAAAAACCGCTTTTGTACTACCTCGCCTCGTTTTTTATGCGCAGTAGTGCTTTGTTGGCGGTTTGCAAAAATTCTATGCGTAAAGTTCAACAGGGGATAGCAAGTCTCCTTACACACTAGAGGGGAGGAGGAGGCACATGGCAGACAGTGCCTGGTTGGCTTTTTTTCTATTAGATCGAAATCCTGCACAATCATGTACTGGGATGATCCAGCTCCAGATCTCATGTGGTCTTCTCCGCTGTTGAGGTATCGTGAGGTTCTCCCATGCTCAGACACCGTCAGGTTTCGTGACTTCGTCGAGCGTGATCCAGATTCCTTCGAGGTAGCCATCAAGCTTTTCAGGACTTGCTTGCTTGTTGTCTGGCGCTGTTGGGTTGTTACTGTTCGCATTGGACGTCTGAGGCACATGTTGTAAGGATGTTCATAGTGTCATCATTTCCAAGCCAGCTCTTGCCCTTGGAAGCGCTTCACATCGAAGTACAATTTTTGTCCGGCATCAACAGAGGCTTGTTGCTGACTGGACTTCTGCTTTCTGCTTGCGCAGACATGTGCCTAGCGCCGCTATTCCCATGAACGTGAGCACTGCGTTGCAAGTGAGAAGCGTCATTGACAACACTTGGCGTACATACTACAGTAGCAGCATAGCACCAGCACTAGAGTAATGCTGGTTATCATGTCTTCGTCTACCACCACGATTAAGGTTACAATGGTTACAAGGCTCAGATACCCAAACACTGCCACCGTTGTCTGCATGTGACTCCGGGGTATGCCTTGCTTAAGATTTTGATTGTTTACGTGGCCTGCAGGAGTTTTTTCAGGCAAAGCAGTGAACTGTATACCTGACCTTACCAGAGGGGTATTCCTAGGATCAAAAAGGTCTGATAAAACATCACTGCTTCTGCTGCAGCAACAACACAAAAAAGACAGCAACAACTACTATTACTTCAACCGGCTTTAGTGTTTCGCTGTTTTTGCTAGTACTTCGATTCTTTGTACCCTTCCCATTAATTTTGTCCTTGTACTCCTATTGCTTATTGCATTTTCTCTTCAAAAGGACTTTCCTTTTGCCACTGTTGCTACTGCTGCTGCCACCCCTGCGTCGTCGTCCTATCAGTTCTGCAAGCAAGTAACATAGCCCGTAGAGCCGTGAGTTGTGCGTTGCAGGATGCAGATGGTCATGGCCCAAGCCCAGGATGAACGTGAGTCCACCCCGCCTGGTGCTAGTGATTGTGATCCAGCTGACCGGATGGCAACTGGGACGGAGGATCAGACGCCAGTTTTCTCCAGAAGTTCTTCTAGGTTTGCACAACCACCACGAAAGCAGCCACACACTGGGGATTTCCGAAGTCGGTAAGTGTTGAGGGTCTCAAAGCCTTTCTTTGCCAAGGTGATGGCCAATCCTTTCATGAAGTCGACGAAGAAGAAGAAAGCCGCAAGTGGAGCGGCCACGAGCAAGCCAACCAACACGGCTGGTGATGTGAGTCCATGGCATTGCAGCGTGCAACGGTGCCAGACATTGACCGTGAGGTTGTGAGGCAGTCTGGTACCAGGGTTGACCTTCAGCATCGCAGCCCTTTCATTTCCCCCCAAGTGATGTCCGAATTCTTCAAACCATCCCAGGTATCTAGCTGCCTCAGCCACTGTGCAAAAAGTCGCACAGTTCGGGGGTGCCAGGCTCAAGCTAGGGTAATGCCTGGCTGAGCTCTGCGTGCTCTGAGAGCCACACTCCGGTATCAATACGGTATTCCTAGATAGGAAGATGCCAGATATCTTCAGACCGAACAATGTTAAGCAAGATGAGTTCAGGGCGCAATGAAAACCACAACTGGATCTTCTTCCTGGATCTGCTTTCGGGCAGCATGACTCAATGGCAACCGCCATGTAGACCTTAGGCCTTGGCAGTCAGTTCAGTTCAGTCGAGACACGTATTTGGGCATCATGAGGACTGCGGCATGCAGGTCACGGTAGAAGTTTTCTCATAGGTGCATGTCCAGTAGTGCAGGAGTAATGATTACATCCACACTAGAGTTGATGTTGTTATGGGTGCTATCCCTCCGACTGCTACTCCTGCAGCAGCCGCAACAGTGTGGTCTTGCCTGCTAGAATTTTGGTACAAGAAACACTGTCTTAGGACATGTGATATGTGTCATGTTCCTACCAAATCACTTGCTGCAATTGCTTCCCTCGTGACCTGAATGCAAGCGTCCCTTTGCCACTGTGTCCCTCGATTATGTATTGACAAAGATTTTTTGCTGCTTCCATCGTCCATCACGAAGTGAACGCTGGGTGCAACCAGCAGATGACTGCCCCAAATTTTGCCCCAAACCCTAAACCTCAAGCCATGCCATGCAAGTTCAGAATTGCCAAAAGAACAGGTAGAAAGCAGTATCTTCTTCAAGCCGATTCTTTCTCTTGTCTTTCTGTCCTTGCATGGAAACGTACATACAACTCACATCGTTTGCACAGAGGTCAGGCTTCATCGCCAGTTCCACGAAAGATAAGACCCATACATTCGAAAGAAAAGCCCACATGAGCCATAGTCTAAACTCCTTAAAGGGGGTTATATGGGGGGATAATACAGGGGACTACCATAGGGGTTATTAAGGGGGATACTAGGAGTTTAGACTATAGCTCATATGCAAGAAAGGCCACAGGCGAAGTGTAGCCCTAAAGCCTACACCCTAGCCGCACAATCTGAATTGTTGGAGTGTTATTCCTCCCCTGTCCCAAGTTCTGGTCCATCCTCGCAGAATACTGAAATGGGTAGTTTTTAACATGATCCCTGCGCATAGAATCCATGATAAGGACTCCCCAAAATCCCTCTACGCTCCGTATTTATCCTTAGGGCTCCTTAGGGGCCCCCTTTTTGAGGAGCTCCGAAATGCCAGACTCGGCAGATCTGATCCCACGAGCATGTCCTGTCTATTAAACGGCGAATACGAAAAAGTATGGTAACTTATAGTCCCCTTAAGTAGATAGAATATGGGGTATATCGGGATTTTATTATAACATACCCAAAGCCATATTCTATCTACTTAAGGGGGATTATGGTACAGGAAGTGGAAGTTTGTATGGGCAGGGGGATTTGGGTTGGTCTATCATTGGGGGGGAGGGGAATTTAGGGTTCACAAGGCCCAAAGATGTGTGTTCGAGCAAGGAATCCTGAAGCCTATGCCTCTGTAGACAGGGAAATCCCTGCTTTTACTTGACCTGGGAGCTCTCGGAGGAGGGGATGCAGAATTCAAAGCGAACAACAGAATATCCAAGCGAAACATATGAAAATCATAAAGGAATAGGTAAATAGATAGGTATGTGTTTATTATGTGCGGTAGCAGCTCTCTTTTTTTTTAAAATAGTGTTTCAGCTTCCATGGGGAATGTTCACTTGGTGACTATACGCATGGATAAATATGTGCATATCTATGTACATATGTACATCTATGTATATGCACTTGTTTGCATGTGTAGTGGAACTTGCTATATTTGGAATGCTTATTAACCTGCAAAGAGTCCGTGGCCTTCAACGTAGCCAGAGAACTTTTACAGAAGATTTGGAGGGCCATGCTTGTCCTTCACTAAACCCTAAACCCTAAAGCCTTAACCCACCCACTGTAGCAAAGAACTGTTCATCCCGTAGGTGTTAAGGAGTGAAGGGTTGTCCATCAGCTCTGAAGAGAAGCTCCGCGCTGCAGACTTGATACACCTGATACATGCTTGAGCTGGCTCTGACCACATCCCCGCTTCCCAGGGCTGTTAAGGCTTCGAATCTTCACATACTTGGGGTTTGGGGGCTTGGGGTTCGAGCTGAGAGATGTGGCACCATGGAGAGGTTCTCTGTTTCAGGGCCATGTCGGTGCAAGCTAGAAAGCGACGGTCTCCCAACAAGATACAACAAGATGTTTCTCATCGGAAGAAATATCGGTTTGAAGACAAAAATGACATCTGTTCTTGGCTTGGTAACTTTTTCTCAGCATTGCGATGATTTTTAGAGAAGTCGCTATGAACATTTGAGTCGAATTTGTCAATCCAAGCAGCACTTGCAATCCAGTTGCCGACGTCAATGCTTCTATTCATCATCGTAATGCCAGCTGCCCTGAGTCAGAGTGTTTTTCTTGTTCCAGGTTGTGTCGGGGGGTCTAGCCCGTCGATGGTTTCAGAGTGCACTTCGAGCCATCGCAAGACCAGAATATCCAAGCACAGAAGGCTGGCAAGAGAACGGAGAAAAGCTCGAGGGCAGGGACACAAACATATGGCATGTGCAAGCAGCCTAGTCTGGAATGAACTCACAGAAAGGAACTGCATGGCTGCCAATCAGATCAAGGTTGGCAAGAATATGCGAGAGTGGTTGAAGAATGCACTCACTCTGAGAAGTGGTGTCAATACTGGAGGTCTTGTTATCCAGGTTCAGGGTTTGGACAATACTGTCGCTGAGTAAGCAGTCGGCACCGGAGTCTTGTCATTGTCACGGCTTGGACACGGTTGTCGCTAAGTCAGGGAGTCGGCTTTGCCATTGTCACTAGTCACGCTAGTGTCCTGTGTAGTGGTGGTGGTGGTGGTGGTGGTGGTGGTGGTGGTGGTGGTGGTGGTGGTTGTTGGTGCTGTTGTTGGCGCTGCAGGGTCTTTAGGGTTTAGGGTTTATTAGGGTTTCAGATTTTCAGGGTTTACGGTTTTTTGTTTTTTTTTGGTTTTTAGGGTTTAGGTGTCTTTAGGGTTGAGGTTTTTATGATTTAGGGTGCTTAGGGTCTTTTAGCAAGCAGTCGCTAACCCCGCATCTCAAATGCTATACTCCCCCCTATGGTTTTCAACCCATTCTGAAAGCACACCCCAAATCAACCATGCCGAAACCCA